GGCCCCCGACCTGCGTTCCCTGGCCGTGAGCCCTGGCCTCGTTCCCTTCCCACGGCTGGACCCCGGCCTGCCCGTCCCCGCCAGCCCAGCACCTCTAGCCCTCCACCGGTCCTTGCCCCGGCCTCCCTCTCCGTGCTGGCCCCTCGGCCCAGGGGGCACGGGCTGCCCCCATGGCACTGCCCCTGTGGAAGCCTTCGGTGCCCGCTCCGGCGCTTGCTGCGCCACTGGCGCCGTTGGCTGTTCCACCGAGCCCCCAGCCTGGGTACTCTGGCCTGCGGCCTCCAGCGCTTGTTCCAGGGAATAGGGGCCCGTGGGGAGGAAGATTTTCGGTGCCGGAGCCTGGCCTATGCCATGGCCCCCCGGGCGAGGGTCACAGCTGGCTTTGGCACTTCCTTGGCTGACATTGGTTGCAGAGTTGTGCAGAAATGGGTGTTCTGGCAGGAGCTGTGCTCAGGTGCTGGTGCATGAGCTCTTGGGGCAGGTGCCTGCTTAACCCAGTCCGTCGGCACCTCTAGGTCAGGTTGTCAGGTGCCATGCTTGCCCCACCGGACACGAGGTCGGAGGCCCAGAAGCCATGTGTGCAGCAAGTGCTGGGCCTGGGGGGGACCCCGGGGGGGGGCTATTTTGGTCAGGCTGGTCCCTGGGCTTTGCTTTCTGGGAACTGCTTAATCAACAACACACTTATGCAATGGGTGCAAGAACCACTCACAGCTCTGTGCTGACCCCTGGCCTAGATCTGGTGGGCCAGAGTGCGCGGGGGGGGGGCCATGCAGCTGCAGTGCGAGGGGGCAGGCAGATCAGATGCTCTTGCTAAGCTGGAGGTGAAATGGGGGTTCGTGGCAGCAGCAGCTGTGGGGTGCTGGCCAGTGCAGAGGGATCCTGGCAGGTTTGAAGGGATTAATCCCTTTGGGGAGACCCTGCTCCCCAGCCTGGAAAGGATGGTGGGTTAGAGTAATTCACCCTTTTTGCCACAACTCTTTGCCTCCTGTTTCATGCTGTGCCACAGCCCTGATACTGGCTCTGTGGATCTTGCAGGGAAGGAGGAGTTCAGCATGGCATCGTGCCTCAGTTTCCCTTTCCTGCATGTGTGAAGCTGCTGTGTAGCTGCTGGGAGGTGGTGGTGACATGGAGGTTTTAACGACCCCCCTGGCCTGGCACCTGGGCCAGTGCCACTCAGTGATGCAGCTTGGGACTCCCTCCAGCTTGCTGCATGTGGGGAGAGTGTCGGGCGGAGGTACCTGGTTCCCTCCATGGGTTGAAGGCAGGAGCAGCCCTGCCCTGTGGGGAATTTAACCTGCCCTGAGCACCAGGAAGGAAACATACCACTTCCAGTATGGGAACATGGAATAAAAGGCAGGGAAATGCACGTGTGAGCATGTCCACAAATGGAGCATGTGTCCAAATATTCGGGATGGGGGACTGAACATGTGTTTGCAAGAGAGTGTGCAGATGGGTACGTACCACTGAGCATCTGTGCAAGTAAGGGCGAGCATGCACAGTGCGCCTGTGCCTGGATGAAAGTGCCGTCTGCTCAGTTCTGCTGGTGCCCAGGCAGTGCTGCCTCTGCGCTGCTCCAGCCGGGGCTCACAGGCCCTGTGGGAGCTGGGCTCCCAGGCCAGGCTGTGCCCACTCTTTCTTCCCTGTTGACATTCCGGAGCTATTCTGGGAGCTGCCAGCAGGCCCAGCCAGCTGAGAACTTTGCCCCTTGCACTATGGTTGCATCATCTCCAGTGGGTGCTTTTTCCCAGACAGCCCACTCTATTTACACGTCACCTCTGTGCTTGGCCAGAAGGAGGGCCTCTGTGTGATCAAGACCTTGGAGTCAGTGCTGTATGGCATGGTGGGCAGAGGACGTGCCTGAAGGGCTGGCTGGGCTTCAGGTTTCCCACTGCACTCTGTGGGTTCCTTGCTCTGGCACAAGAGCACTGGGCTCTCTCATTCCCCCAAAAACATGGCACCTTGCACCACTTCTGAGAGATTTCTACGGGACCCTGCTCTAAGCACAGCATCTGGGGCTAAGAATCCGAAGAACAGCTTCAGATTGATGTGGCACCGGCTGCCATCTCGTGAGCCCTCAGTACATACAAATATCCATTTTAATTTGTGGGGAGGAGGTGGCGTAGTATACACTCTTGTTGGCCCTGCCCAGCTCTGTCCTGGAGTGACGCTGGACCAGGCAGTCTAAAGACTAGGCTCAGACCCCCAAACTCATCACATGGTACGAGTGACAAAAGCTCAGAGATGTGAACAGTCCCCAGGGAGCTGCAGGGGTCATCCCAGGAACCACTCCTGATCCCCGCTTTGTTCTCTGTCAGCAATAAACAGGACTGCTAGGGTGGCTAAGGGGGTGTCAGGGGGGCAATGCACAGGCTGTGGGGACAGGTCTGTAGGCTCCATGGGCAGGCAGACGAGGCCAGGATCCATCCGGCAGGCCGCTCCGGCATCGGTGCTCCTCCACCCGGCCAGGATTTGCCTCAGCCCTTACTTCCTGCAGGTTTTGGACCAGGCAGAGGAGCTCAGCCCCTGCGGGGGTGCCTGGCCGGGCTCCTCTGCAACCCTGAGCAGATGCGAGGGTGAGCTGCAGGCAGGCAGAGCCCACCCATACACGTGTGTGCAAGCCCCTTGGGCCCACGCCTCTTGCATGTACCACTATTCGTGCACGCCCATATGAAGCCCCCCAGGTATCCCCCCCTCCACCATGCGTCCCCCCTCACTCGCATCCGGCCCCCGCTGTGTCCTCCCCGGGCGCGGCGTAGCCCAGGCAGGGGCCGGAGGCAGGTGCTCGGCCCCACTCGAGGCCCGGGCCGGGCCGGGGCGCCGCTCCCACGGGTACCCGATGGCCTCGCACGGAGCGGGGGAGGACGGGGCACGGGCGACAGTGCCCCGCTGCTCGCGGAGCCCCTTCCCCCGAGACAGAGGGGCGCCGTCGGCCACCCGCCCCCGCCGCGGGGGGGGAAGGGGGGGGGCTAATCCCGGTAATCCCCCGCCCCGGCCACGGCCCGACGGGACGGAACAGGC